GTAAAGGAACCCAGAGCAGCTGAAGTAAGAGGTACCTTGATTCATTCATATTCTCTCTCTCTCTCTCTCTTCCCCAATCCAGGTTCCCTAGGCACTGCAGGCCGTGTCTGCAGCAAAACATCTAAAGGGACAGACGGCTGTGAAATCATGTGCTGTGGCCGAGGGTATGACACAACTCGAGTCACCCGTGTCACCCAGTGTGAGTGCAAATTCCACTGGTGCTGCGCCGTGCGGTGCAAGGAGTGCAGAAACACTGTGGACGTCCACACCTGCAAGGCCCCCAAGAAGGCAGAGTGGCTGGACCAGACCTGAACATGCCAATACCTCACTCATCCCTCCACTTCAAACCTCCTGACTCAAAAGCACAAGATCTTTGCATGCACACCTTCCACCACCCTCAACCCTGGGCTGCTACAGCTTCTATTTAAGGACTTGGAGAGTGATCCAGAGGGACTCTGGTTTCCTGGCTGGTTCCTTAGCCCTTGGAAGGAGTTGACAGGGGACGTAAGAAACTGAGCAGCTCCGACTCCCTGCTCTGGAGGCTAGAAGGGAGAGTGGAAGAGGTGTAGGTGTGATATGAGTTGCACTAAAGCATGTGGTCGAGGCTCGTGTCTTCTTTCCCCTGCACTGGCCTACTGACACTTCTGTGTGTACAAGAGGAAAGGTACCCGGAGAGCGCTTCCTTTCGCTCCTACCTGGCTGAGGGTAGATAGGACAGAGATGAAACCACTTATCTCTTCCCTAGATCAGTTTGAGCAGACTGTCTGGTACCCTCCAAAAACCTCTTAGGCTACAACATTCTTTCATTATTGAGAGTTAGATGAGAGTTAGCCACAATGGACAAGGTTCCATTCATATGCTCACGTGTTTCTAAACTGCTGTGTTTTGTAAGGGAAAATATTACATAACTATACAAACATCCATTCTCTTCCCATCTCTCTCTCCTTTTCAGCCTACATCAGACAGCACTACTCCCTGGGCTCACTTGCTGCCTGTTTAAATGAGTGGCAGGCAGTGATAGCCATGCCTAACAGATCATCAGAATACCCTGGAACATCCTGAGAAAGAGTGATTTAGTAAGCCTTGGGGTTGTTTTTAAATTTCCCACGCATTATTCTTATGGTCAGCCACGTTGAAGAAACACCGAGAAAAAGGTATAAGACTTGTGGAGGCGGGAGAGGGCAGCAGTCCTGATCTCGAGGGTCCACAATAGGCCTCCGTGTATCATAAGCAGATCGAGATCTTCAGCTTTGGCAATTTTTAGGAGAGGATCCTAGCCTTTGACGCTGGTAGTGGGATCCCTGACTACGAGGGAAGGAGAGCTGGGGCTTGGAGCCAAAGTGCTGAGCATCTTAGAAAGCAGCCTTCCCCCATTGATTTTCTCCCCCCTCAGCAAGAACTCATCTTTATGTAGCGACTCTCCACGTCCTGGTGATGATGACTGTTATTCCTTCCATGTTTGACTTCTGCAGGGGAGTTCCTTCTATGCTACTACCCACTCCCTAAATCAGCTTGCGGTAGCTGAGTCTCCAGAGGCAAGCTAGAGGATACGAAACGAAGTCTCCAAAACTGTGATGTCCTATTTTTATGTGATTTGAACAGTGGTTATCTCTTCCCGCTGATATCTTAAAGGAGCAGAATACTGTAGAAATTTACAGTTATGACAGACATGGGTTGGAATCACAGCTGTTTTTGATATTTTAAGCAAGAGACTCAAATTCTCTGAGCCTCTACCTTCTCATCTGTAAAATGAGGGTATAACACTATCTCAGATACTGAGCGTAATTACAGCTCCAAACTCTAGACAACAGACACTCTCACCAAAGCCGCTATCTGGTCTCGCCCATCATGACTTAGTTCAGAGCCTTCACCTAAGGACAGTCAAGTACTGACAGCAGGCTGTGGATTCAGGGGCCTACCCGAGGAATTCTGAGTGTAGCCTCCCCCTCTCCCAAGTTCCTCTCCAACATCCCTTGGGGTCCTCTCATGTTTGTGGAACAGCTTCACTCTGCACAGGCAGCAGAAGGAGCCATACCTCTGGGATGGGGGGCAGATTTATTTGGATGATAGGACTAATATTTGTGTAACCTGTGGAGACCTGTGTGGGAGAGTTTGGGGTGGTTTTTCTTTTGGCAAGGGGGTTTGCTCCGATTTCACATCCATTAACACAAAACATGAGCTAGTCAGGGCCCTGTGGTCTGCGGTGAGGGGATGCCTGTGGAGAAATGGGACTGAGTGAGTCAGGCCAGGGGAATGTCTTCCTTGAAGAGTGGAGGCAACTGGATAACTGATGAGCCAATGGTGGGATAAGGGAGGGGGCACGGGAGGGAAGAGAAGAGCTTCTGACATCTTGAGCTGGGATTAGGAGGAGGAAAGCCTCAGTGTAGTGAGAAGGTAAGAGGGTTACAGCAGTCTGAACTCAATAATAGATTTGAATGAATTTCTAAAAGGGTGCTGTCTTGTACGCTGGGCTGCTTGGAAGAGCCTCCGGGCCTGGTTAACCCCTGCTCTCACAGAATATCCAGGTGACCACGTAAGTGATAGCATGGGCCTTCCATGGGACATAAACCTGAGTTAAATCAACTTGTCTCTATTATCTATCTGTTTTCCGTTCTTAGCCCAGGGAGGGAATGGGCCTCTTCTGACATCTAACACTGCTCTATGCTTTTCTCTGGCATCCAAATTCTGATTCATAAAGACCCACATTCTGCATTTTCTTATAATGGTTAGGCGAAGAGTGAGCTGTCCAGAGAGTGAGAGGTTTGAAAAGTGAGGCGGGTAGGGAGAGAAAAGAGGTCCACGTGAGCCCCACCACAGAGGTTATGTGGCTCCGAGAAGGAATGATGGCCAAGCCATTAATTATGCCTCTTATTCCTTAGCTTGCCTGTGCATTCCGATTGGCTTTAGACAACTGGCGTCTATTCTGTGCTATACAAACAGAAACTAATTCATTTGGAACAAGCAGCAAAATAAGGACTTTATTTGGTGTAGTCGGGGCTCCATGTCATTCTGCCACTACTTACTCCCTCGCTGCCTCCAATCTCCCCTCTTGCAGCCCTCCTATCCAACAGCGGTCTGTCCCTCAGATCAGCAGTCTCACGGCCCCTCTCCACTCTAAAGGTAAAAGGCGGGCAGAAAGTGCTATTTGGACACAAAGCTGACTTAAAAGAGGTTATCTCTATCCTTTAAGGAGCTTAGAATCTTTCAGGGAAGGTGTGTGACTGCAGTGCCCCCGCTGCATGCCTGTAGCCAGTTTCTCTTTGGAGCAGTAAGGATGCCAGCCTTCACCGTGCCTTGGAGATCAGAGCCAGCCTGTATTATTGCTAACCTTGAATGACAGCTCTAATCCGTACTCTTCCTCAGAGATGCTGAAAAAATTCAACCAGAGATGTTAGACTATTTAAAAGAATGAAGTCCTGCCTGGCCGTAAGGGTCTGTTTGTGAACAGTCCTGTAGGTCTGACTCATGATCGCTCACTGCCTCATTTCTCTTCCTCCCTGTAGCAGAGAGTAATTTCTTCTCCTTTCTCTCACCTCCCTCAGCAAGAACACCAACTGCTAAGTCCCTGCCAAATTCTCAGGCCCACTCCGGACATCGGTTTAATACAAGAGAGATTATTAGGATTTTTTTCCCCCTCTGATTTTCTGAGGTTTTATTTAAATGCCCTCAGTGGTCATAGGGAGAAGCCCAAGTGAGGACACCGGGGAGAGTATGTTTCTCATCCCTGAGAGGCTCCTGCAACCCAATTACAGCACCAGAGAACAATGTGATGCATTCCTGGGCAGGTCGGTGGGACCCTGGGCGCCTGGGCCTTGTGGAGAGAGGTGCCAGACACAGAGCTCTCCGTAAGCAATCCTGCAGAGCCGCCCCCTGGGTGCAGAGATGAAATACGGGAGAGCTTCACATTACACAGAGACCCCAGCTCACACCTGGTTATTGATGGCCTTGGCGGAGGCCTCTGCCCCCACCCTCCACTTAGGGGTTGCCTGCTACTACGGGGGCTGGGCATCTTTGAAGCAATGTTGAAAAACAAGAGATGCTTCCTTTTCACGCTTAGCCCTCCCAGTCTGCACACGACCAGGAGGATACACATACATATGAGGTGCACATATATGGGCATACATATACAGATATGAACATACACATAGCTTCTCTCATTCTAGTCATCCTCCCCTTTCCCAGAAGCAAAAAATAAAAAAGCAACTAGATTTCAATCAAATTCTCCAAAACTCATACCAACAGCAGAGGTTCAGCTATAACCAAAGAATATTAAAAAGTTACATTATCAACATGCAGGCAGCTGTTTAGTTTGGGGACCAGTTGTACCTGGGGATGGGAGGAGAAGGAGGCAGAAAGGGATGGACAATGGACAATGAGCACCCAAGTGAGGGGTCTGAGACGTCTCAGGGCTGATTCATGCTGGAAATAGTACAGTTCATACTCTGTGTGCTGCGGATGGTGAGGCAGTCTCTGACTGCTCATGCCCTATTGTTCTTAACTCTTGTTAGGTTAGAAGCAGGAGAGCTTTGGGATCCAGAGATGATCTCCCAAGAGAGGTATTGGAGAGGAGCAAGCAGTGGCTCTACTAGGCAAATATGTCACAGTTACTGCACTGAACGGGGCTTTCCCAGAAGATATGATTCTCTTTGGGTGGTTGTCAGGTTTCAGGCAATAGCCAGTGGGGTCTCAGTAATATCCTGTCCCTGCCTCCAAAGGGATAGAAAAAAGGGAGCGTTTATAAGCACTTTTTCCCACTTCCCTTTCATGACTTAGAGGATCTCTAAGCATCTTTGTGGCTATTCCTCATTTACTTAAGATGTTTTAGTCATCCCGGATTTGAGAAAGCAAGGTAAGCATTATTCCTTGGCCCCCTAACTGAACTATCTTGGCTTCAAATTTGCCTTTGCTCACTTCCATTCTGCCTGAGTCTATGGATGGGGCAGCAGGCCACACAGTTCCCTTTCTTTGACCAAAAGGAACTGAAATCTGGTGACTTTATTTCAATACCACCAGCCCCTATAAGCAGGCCTGACTGAACAGAAAGGCTAAACTGAGTGAAGAAAAAAAGAATACAGTTTAATCCACAGCTGTTCTATTTGACATCTTTTTCAAGATAGGGCTTCCCCAAGAATAAATGTGGTACTCGCCCTGGCCAGTGTGGTTCAGTTCTTTGGGTACCGTCTGGTACACCGAAAGGTTGCTGCTTTGATTCCCAGTCAAGGCACATATCCAGGTTGTGGGCTCAATTCCCGGTGGGAGGCATGCAGGAGGCAACCAATGGCTGTTTCGTGCTCACATAGATGTTTTTCTCTCTCTCCCTCTCCTTTCCTCTCTCTAAGGTAATCAATAAAAAAATATTTTAAAATGTGATACTCATAAAAAACATTTTTATATACAAAATGCTTTAGTACATACAGAATTCTCACACCAACTTTGTGAGGTAGAAGTTACATTCACTGTACAGGTACCATTTAGAGAGACTCGGTGATTTCTCCAAGGTCACGTGGATACTGAGTGGCTCAGCCAGAACTCAAACCTAGGGCTTTTGACTTCAAATCCTGTGTGCTCCTCAAAGACTGAGGATGCCTCGGGCTGGAGGCACCAGAGTCCCAGCCCCTCCAGAACAAAGGGTACAAAATATTCTAGGAGGGTACATCTGAGCAGAACTGACAAAAGGAACAGCCTAAGCCTTCTCTAACCTCATCAATGAATCCCCCTTTTGCCATTTCTGCCACATGATCACTAGACTAAGTGCTCCACATTTAATTGTTCTGGCTCTTAGTTCTTTCTATTCCTTTTTACTTCTTCAGATTAACACTTAAAATTTTGTTTTGGTTTTATCTTGTTCTTTTAAAGTGATACTGAATGTAAAGAAAAGCCACGGGCTTTGGGCTTTTAAAGTATGTGTTAGAATTTCCTTTGAGACTTCATTCTTTTTTAAAATGCTGTCAACCGCTGGGCTAGGAAAGTAAAACAGGGAATGACAGTGCTAAAAAGCCATCCTATCCAGGGCTAGATGCTCGGCGTGTCAGCATTTTAAAAAACTCTAACTTAACTCTGGTGCTGTGTCATATATAGAA